AAACACCTGCTCCTTCAGTCCTGCCCCAGAGTCCGCCTCAGTGCTGTGGGGTCAAAGGCACCCCCAGTGCATCAGAATGCCTGACCTCGCCCACAGGGTCAGGCACAGCGAGGACGGTGGCATTTGTACCCAGCTCTCCTGGGCCTCGCTGTGTCTTGCGGCCTCCCATTGACCTCTCGGGGGCTTGGTCTCCCTGACAGCCTCAGAAGAAAGCGCCCCCTTTTTGTGTAGGGCCGTGGGAGGGACTGGCAATGTTATCTGGCAGGCAGAGGTGGCTCCCCAAACACGGACTGCCTCACCGAGACTGGGCTGGAAAGGGACCGCCCATCCCTGACAACGCGGCCAACCTTGCGCTGGCCCACTCTTGAGGAAATTGTTAACTTTCCACCTGAGTTTGTTTGCAGAAGGACCAGCGTTTGCCTGCAGGAGGGCAGGCTGCCAGGCTGGCTAAGCAGGTCTCTTGAGTAAGATCCCCGTGGCGGGTACGGCTGATGTGAGGTTCACGTTACGTAAACAGGCAACAGGGTGCCGGGTGCCCTGATCCGCGACGCAGGAAAGTCCACACACAGAGCACGGGGCACGAGTCCATCTGCTGGCCGCACACCTCACAGCCCCAAAGCCTGAACCCCCTCGCCACCCTGGTCCAACGCCGTCCTTCCGGCACAGTGACCCCTGACCTCAGAGGCACACGGACGTTCTGGAGACAAGAGCCGGAGTGATGGCGTGCAGGCTGCAGGGCAGGCGGGTGATGGGGGCTCTTCCAGGACGGGACGCTCCCGGGCCCTCTGGTCCCACCCACAGAACTCGTCTCCTCCTGGACCCGCCTCCGCCAGGAGCCCTGAGGTGGGAGAGGTGAAGATGAAGGGGCAGTCCCTGCCCCCTGGGACCTTTGCCGTAACAACACTGCTCCCTCCTGCCGGGCAGGGTCACCTGCCATCCGGCCAGCCCTCCTGTTTCCTCACCTGCCGTCCTCCTGGCAAGTGAGAACGTGAAGCGCAGGTGGCTCCTGCTGTCAGGACCTCAGGCTGTGGGGTGTGGGGTGTGGGAGCCCACATGCTCAGCACCCAGAGCCTGACCTGCTTTCAAACCCACTGCGTGTGAGCTCCCAGCTCATTGACTCTGTGACCCTTCAAACACAACCTGAATCCAGGAATTATAGGATCAGAGCCGGGAGAGGCTCAGAGATCCGCTCACACAAAGCCCCAGGCCCCAGCCCAGGACTGTCGTCAGGGTGGCTTTGGGGACAGGCTGAAGGAGAGGGTCATTTACAGTAAGAGCTTCTGTCAGAAAAGGGAGGTACCAGATCAGCCATCTGGTACCTTCGACTGAAGAAACTTGAAAAAGAAGAGAAAATGAAAACCCGGGGGAGCAGAGGAAGGGCAAGGGCAGAAATCAAGGTCAAGGTCACTGAAATCAAGGTCAAGATCACTGAAAACAATGGAAAAGTCAATGAAGTCGAAGCTGGTTCTTTGAGAAGATCAATGTAATCGATAAACTTCTAGCCACACTGACCAGGGAAAATACTGGAAGGATCAATTCATCAATGTCAACGAAAAATAGTGGGCATTACTCACCATTTTCGGAATTGAAAGGACAACAAGGGGAGCCGACACACAGCGTTAGGCTTATTGTTCAAAACCTTAAAGTCAGTGAACCCACTCCTCAACGGACATGAACTATCAAAACTCTTTAAACAAGAATCAGACACTCGGGACGTCCGATATCTGTGGAAGAAAACTCCAGTTTCTCAGAAAACTTTACCGAACGTTTAAAGGAGACGAAGTGCCAACTCGACACCATTTCCTACAGCCAACAGGACAGGAGGAGCCACGTGCCAGCTGCGTGCACGGGGGCAGCGCCATCACGGCCACCGACACCACAGCCGAGGAAAACTGCAGGCCAGCGCCCTCGTGCACAGCGGCGCGGGAACCTTGGGTAAAATGCTAGCAAGTCAAGTCCGGCCACATACAAAAAGGACAACGTGTCACACCCCAGGGGGCTCACTCCGGAGCTCAGGGCTGCTTCCACGCTCAGAAATCAATGAACGTGTGTACAATAGCTTCACAATTTCCCGTAAATCTATAATTATTTCAAAATGGACAGTTAAAAAAATCAGTTAATGTAGTTCACCGCATTAACGGACTTGAAAAAGAACACTGTGATACAAAAAAAGCATTTCGTGACATCCAACATCGGTACTTGATAGGGTCTCTCAGCAATAAAAGGAAACTTCTAGCCTGAGAAAGACCCCCGGGAAAACACTGCCGCTAACACGGCTCGCAGGGCAAGACTGGATGTGTCCCCGGGTTCAGGCACGTGTGAGGGCTCTGTCCCTGGGGAGGGCCTGGGGGACATGGCGCCCTAGAAGTAATGAGCACACCTGGCTCCGGGTTTGGTCTCTGAACACCATCACCCACGAAAAGGGCCCAGCGCCCCAGGCAGAAGCGGCTGATTCCAGGGAGGGCAAGGGCAACCTCAAGGTGAGCCCGCACCAGAAGTGAGGCATCAGGGAGCTGTGGCATGCCCATGGGGTCCAAGAGCCGAACGAAGGCGCTTCCGCCAGTCAAAGTTGGAACGATGTGAATAACAAAAGTAGACACTGATAACATTGTCACGCAACTCAATAAAATACTCTTTTAAAAAAAATATTTTATGCCCTGGCTGGCGTAGCTCAGTAGATTGAGTGTGGGCTGCGAACCAAAGTATCACAGGTTCGATTCCCAGTCAGGGCACATGCCTGGGTTGCCAGCCACGGCCCCCAGCAACCGCACATTGATGTTCTCTCTCTCTCTCTTTCTCCCTCCATTCCCTCTCTAAAAATAAAAATAAATAAAATCTTTAAAAAATAAGCTGTTTCTTCTTTTAAAAATATTTTATTTATTTAGTTTTAGAGAGAGGGGAAGGGAGGGAGAAAGAGGGAGAGAAACATCAGGGTATGGTTGCCCCCAATTCCCAGCAACCCTTTGGTTCTCAGGCCGGCGTTCCATCCACTGAGCCACACCAGCCAGGGCAAAACAGACACTCCGTAGTCCCAACTGAAATAAATAACAGAACGAATACACAGATGGAAGAGGGGGCAACTCTTCCTTACAGAAGAATTGTAGCTAGTAACTGGAGAAGACAACCTGAGGAGAGAGAACAACCACCCTAAAAATACCGCAGGAACAGTGGCCGCAGGGACAGTGACAGCAGGGACAGTGGCCACAGGGACAGTGATGGCAGGGACAATGGCCACAGGGACAGTGACCACAGGGACAGTGACGGCAGGGACAGTGGCCGCAGGGACAGTGGCTGCAGGGACAGTGGCCTCAGGGACAGAGGCCACAGGGACGGTGACTGCAGGGACAGTGGCTGCAGGCACCATCCCTAGACAGCGCTGAAGCCGCTGAGCAGACATTTCAGTGGAAACGGGGTGCTGGCACAGTCCTGCACAACCTCCCCCAAAGGTGTACTCACTGCAAAGGGAAGAACGGTCACATTCCCAGAGGTAAGACACATGGACAGCCTGCACCCCTGCCTGGCTGGACACGTGACTTCTGTGAGGTTCTGCCCCCAAACAGAGCAGCCCCAGCAACTGTGAAAAGATCACTGGACAGACCCAAACGGAGGGTCCTTCTGCAGCGCCCCGACCAGTGCCCCTGAGCAGTGTCGCAGCGGAAAAGCACTCGGACATGAGTGACGCCCCGGCGGCGGGAGAGGAAGACCTGAACGGCGCCCTGCGGGCTCGGGGAGCAGGGTGGGCATCCGTGGGAACCGCTGACCCTGGGACAGTCCATCCTTTCGTGAGTCGTGAGGTCCAAAGTGGTTTCTAAAATTTGGTAATTGATCTACCGTTACGTAAGAAGGCAAGGGGTGTATGTAAATTCCCTGTACTTTTTTATGGTTATTTGATCAAATAAACTTTTTGTTAAAAAAAATTAAGCCGTTCCTGGACAAGCAGAAGTCACGTGCGTGCTGACAAACACGTCCCACCACACGCTGCCTGCGCCCCGTCCTGCACCTGCCCAGACCCAAGGCCCCGAGAAAGGGGCCCCGCCGACCTCTCCCTCCCTCCCGGGCTCAGACAGTGTGTCCGCTTCAGAGCTGGGGCTTGTGATGGGCTGAATTCTGTCTCCGAAATGTTGCTGTGGTCCTCACCCCGGGACCTGTGAATGCGACCTTGTTTGGGAATAGGGTCTTGCCACGGGTAACCAAGTGAAAATGAGGTCACTAAGATGGGTCCTCATCCAATATGACTTTTGTCCTAAAAGGGGGACATTTGGATGCAGAGAGGCACACAGGGAGAGGGCCTTGTGGACAGGGAGGCCGAGGTCGGGGTGCTGCTTCTACAAGCCGAGGCACCCACAGATGGCCAGCAGCCACCCGGAGCTGGGGCAGAGCTGGGGGCAGATTCTCCTCTCAGCCTGGGAACCATCTCTGTGGACACCTTGACCTCCGACTTCTGGCTCCCGGCCTGTGACAAAACACATGTCTGCGTGTGAGCCCAGCTGGCTGCGGTGCTCTGTTTTGATGGCCCCAGGCTACACGTTGTGACTCACATTGTCTTTATTTGGAAACCAAATAAGCTTCCAACCACCAGCCACATGACCTGGCACTGACAGCAGGGGACCCACCACGGGGCTGCGTGACCAGGGGCATTGATTTAGCAAGACACAGCCTAGGTTCTGCCTTAGCCCCCAAGGATCCCGCTAAGAAATGAGGCAACCTACACGCCACCCCGAGGTTTCCTTCTGGCACTGAAAATGGGCAAGCACACCCAGGCCAATGCTAAGAATTTTGCGAGCTGAGCAATGACTCCCGGGACTAAAACACCTGCTGCTCCTTCTCAGGGCCCGCCCTCACCAACAACAAGGAAGAGGTGCGTGAGCCTGCTGCTGGGACAACACACACACACCCAGGGAAGGGTATAAAAGCTGGACAGCCCCAGCTTCTCACACACTCACTCACCTTCACACACTCACACACTCCTCCCAGCTCACCTCCAGCCCCACCACCCCACCATGGCCGCCTCCACCCTGTCTGTCTGCTCCAGCGACCTGAGCTACAGCAGCCGCGTCTGCCTGCCCGGTTCCAGTGACCCTTGCACCGACTCCTCCCTGCAGGTGGATGACTGTCCAGAGAGCTGCTGCCAGCCCTCCTGCTGTGTCCCCAGCTGCTGCCAGCCCTCCTGCTGTGTCCCCAGCTGCTGCCAGCCCACCTGCTGTGCCCCCAGCTGCTGCCAGTCCACCTGCTGTGCTCCCAGCTGCTGCCAGCCCTCCTGCTGCGCTCCCAGCTGCTGCCAGTCCACCTGCTGCGCCCCCAGCTGCTGCCAGTCCACCTGCTGCGCCCCCAGCTGCTGCCAGTCCACCTGCTGTGTCCCCAGCTGCTGCCAGTCCACCTGCTGTGTCCCCAGCTGCTGCCAGCCCTCCTGCTGTGCCCCTAGCTGCTGCCAGTCCACCTGCTGTGCCCCCAGCTGCTGCCAGTCCACCTGCTGTGCCCCCAGCTGCTGCCAGCCCACCTGCTGCACCCCCATCTGCTGCAAGCCTGTCTGCTGCACACCCTTCTGTTGCACATCTGTTTGTTGCAAGCCGGCCTGTTGCACACCCGCCTGCTGCAAGCCTACCTGCTGCACACCCGTGTGCTGCACACCCGTCTGCTGCAAGCCCGTCTGCTGTAAACCCGTGTGCTCTGTGCCCATCTGCTCTGGGGCTGCCCCCTGCTCAGCCCCCTCCTGCTGCCAGCCCACCCCCTGCCCCTCATCCTGCTGCAGACCCTCCTCCTCTGTGTCTCTCATCTGCCGCCCTGTGTGCAGACCCGCCTGCTGCGTGCCTGTCTCCTCCTGCTATGCCCCCTCCTGCTGCTAGCCCAGCTGCTGCTTCCTGGCCTCCTGCATGTCCCTCATCTGCCGCCCTGTGTACTCGCATCCAGCCTGCTGTGTCCCTGCCTTGGCCCTGAAGTCCTGCTGCTGGCTGGACACATCTCCCCAGGGCAGCCAGGCTCAGGCCCCACCCCTGTGACTGTGGGTCACCCAGCCACCCCTCAGACTGGGCCTGAGCCATGTCAGGAGGTTTCCCTCACCTGGCTCAGGGTCAGGTCCCACTTGGAAGCTGACTGCCGTGCCCTGCAATGCTCCGGCACTTAGACCACTTCCTGAGCTGGATGATGTAGAAGAACCAAACGATCATACTCAATGCTACAGCTCTTGAGTGGCACATGGGCAGTCCTCACAGCAGTGGTCCCTCCATATGTCCTGCCCTCATGAGGACCAGCTCAGCTTCCAGCAGTCTCTGACCCTGAACCTGGTCTAGATGCACTTGAGCCAAGCGACCAATAAACAGCCCTGAACTGAGCACTGCATTCATGGCCACGTGTCTTTATTGCCATTTCTCAGCTTGACTGCATATCTGCCTTTGCCCTTTGCACGTCACACTCTGCCATCCAGCAGGACCCTGTGTGGCTTCGTGTGGCTCCCAGGTTTCCCAGAGACAGGTTTCACAGCTCTTTGGCCATTTGGGGACATCATGGATTGGCCCTTCACCCTCCTTTACTATATTACTCACTGAATAGTTCTTTTTCTTGATTTGACTCTGTACCTTTGCCACAGACATAATTACCACGGGTCTGTGTGAACAGGACACCGCTGAACCTTGGGTGGAATGGGAATTGGTGACATCTCTTCTGGAGCCCAGAGACCCCCCAAAATTAGGTTGAGATTCCTTGTGTCTCTGCAAGACCCACTCTTGAGATCTCCAGGATCCACCCCTCCTGGGATAGGGTTGGTGGCGCGGCGCAGCCCTCGGGGAGGGAGCTAAGTCTCAGGCTGAGCTCCAGGTCAGCCGGAGCACCTCCCAGAGTGGAAGCAGCAGGCACACGCAGCTTCAGGGTCAGGGCAGAGCTTGCGGAGCCAAAGAGGGAAGCAAGGGATTGTGTGGAAGAGGAACAGAGTCCCTGAACACAAGGAGTCAGGCGTTACTTTGAGCCATGGTGGACCCGACTCATCCTCCCACCCAACAAAACTAGAAAATGGGATGAAAGACATAAAAAGCCAGGTTCCCGGCCCTAGACAACCGAGAGTACAGGACTGGGGCCGCTTAGGGGAGGGAAACGGAGGAGGGAAGCCCTGCCATTTAATTTCTAACACTGGACGCTTTTCCAGGTAGCTTTCTGTGAATGACTTCCGGTTCTGCTGTGGTCAGAACAACATTCTCTGTGTGACTTCCAGCCTGTTAAATGTACTGAGACTTGTGTAATTGGCCCGGCTTGCTGGCGGAGAGAGTTTCCAGGCCACAGCACGTGGAGGGATCGTAAACAGCACGGGCGTTTTGCTGAGCTGAAGAGGTAGGAATCAGAGTTCACGGACAATGAGACAGCTGGGATCTGTGGGGCAGACACAGGAGAGGGGAGAAATATACAGAGAAAACCTCCCCTGAGTCCACTGCTGAATCCTAATCCATTCATTCGGCGCTCAGAACCCCACACAGCTGGACAGCAACAACCACAGAGCTGTTACAGTGAACAATTACCAGAGCGTACACAAGGGCAAGGGACATTAGCATCCCAAACAACCAGAGAGGAGGGACCTCGCTGGACCCCAGAGGCGTTCAGTACAGATCCCAGAAGAGTCACATCTTAACAGCAGTGCCAAACCTCTCCAAGAGGGAAGCATCTCTAACCTGTCCTGACGAAACCTAGAAACAAGCAGGAAAACATCAGCGTGTCAGCTGGTCCACAATTAGTAACTGCCAGACAGAACCAAGTTCAGGGCCCTTTTAAAAAGGAAACAGCCCTGACTGGTTTGGCTCAGTGGATTGAGCACCATCCTGCAAACCGAGGGTTCACCGGTTTGATTCCCAGTCAGGGCACATGCCTGGGTTGCAGGCCAGGTCAGGCCCCCAGTAGGGGCGGATGGGAGAGGCAGCCACACATTGATGTTTCTCTCCCTCTCTTTCTCCTTCTCTTCCTCTCTTTCTAAAAAATAAATAAAATATTTTTTAAAAGGAAACAAAGTACACATTGAACAGTGTGATGGTTTTATTTTATGGAAGTCCAGCATTCAGGACAATACTAGTAGGCACATTCAGAAGAGGGAAATGTTGCCCATAACCAAGAGATAAGACAGTCTGTAGAAGCAAACCCACAGGCAGAGCTGATGGAACTCGCAGACCCGGGAGTTAAAACAGCCAGTACAAGTACATACAGGAATTTAAAGGAAACCACCAACATGATGAAGAGAGAAATGGACGACTCAAAAGAAAACAAAATGGAACCCCAAAGGCTGAAAAATAGAACATCAATGGTAAAAAATTATAAAGACGTGCTTAAAAGCTCTTTAGACACTGCCGAGGAAAAGACCTGTGACCCTGAGGACATAGCCACGGAAATCATCCAAACCAGAGGACAGTGAGGGGAAAGAAAAGGAAAACCTTCAAGGAACCTCAGGGAGCTGGGGAACAATGAAATGGTCCAGCGTAAGTACAAACGGAGTGCTTCAAAACAATGAATAAGTAAAAGTGAGGGAGAGGGCAAAAGGTATTTTAAGAGATAATGGCCAAATATGTTTGTAATTTGATGTCATCGATAAGTATATAGAAAACTGGAAAAACACTATAAACTAACCTGAACTAATTAACATTTATATACTATACCGCCCCCCAACAGTAGAATTTACATTTGTAAGTGCATGTGGAACATTCATCAGAATAAATCATACACTAGACCATTAAGCAAGTCTCAAGATATTTAATAGGACTGAAGTCACACAGAGAAGGTTGTTTGACCACAGCAGAATCAGCCATCACTGCCAGAAAGAGATCTGGAAAATCGTCCAATATCAGGAAATTAAACAACACACTTCAAAATAATCCTGAGTCAAAGAAGAAATCACAATGAAAATTAGGAAATATTTTGCATAAGGTACAAATAAACTCTGTGAGGTACAGTTAACACAGCGCACTGCGGGGAATGTGAAACTTTAATGACATATATTTGAAAAGAAGGCAAGACTAAAATCAATTACCTAAGTTTCTACCTTATGAAGCTATAAAAAGAAAAATACAAGTTGAACCCAAAATAAGTAGAAGAAATGAAATAATCAAGAAATGTAGAAATCTGCTGAATGGAAAATGGACAGACAAGAGAGAAAATCAATAAACCAAATTTGTTTTTTTGAAAAAATCAATAAAATTGGTACATTTCTAGCTTTATCAGTCAAGAAAAAGGAGAAAAGATGTGAATTTCTAATATCATAAATGAAAGAAGGGTTACGAGCACAGATCTACAGACCAAAAGAATTAAAAAGGAGGAAAGCCAACAACTTCATGCTGATACATTTAACAACTGAGATGAAACAGGCCACTAACTGGAAAGATACACATTACAAAAACTCACACGAAATGAAATAGAAAACCTCGATAGCCCACTGCCAAGTGAAGAAATCGAATTCATAGTTAAAACCTTTCCCACAAAGAAGACACGGAGCCCAAATGCCTTGAATGCTGGAAATCCTAAGGAATGAGTGTACCTAAAAAAGCTCTCCAATTCCAGTGCATTTAGCGAGGTTCCAGGATGCAAGCTCAATAGGGAGAAGCCAAGAGCACTTCTACCTGGTAGCCCTAAATAATCAAAAAGAAAACAAATACGCCGTCAACTGAAGCATCGACGGTGAAATAGCACACAAAGGGGACAGCACGTGCGTGTGGCCTGTGTCTGGACAAGGACAACACGTTGCTGGAACAGGCAACCCTAAAGGACTGGACAGACATACTGTGTCTGTAAGTTAAAAGACTCCATGTTGTTAAAACGTCAGCTCTTCCCAAGTTTATCTACAAGTTTAATGCCATTCCAATCAAAATTCCAGCATGCGTTTCTGTAGAAGCGAAGGAGCTGATTCTAGAATACATTCTAAAAGCTACATGAAAATGTAAAGGATCTAGATTAGCCAACTAATTTGGAAAAAGAAAACCAACATTGGAGGACTTGCATCGCTTGATTTCGGGACTTAAATTAAAGCCACATTGTGTTGGTCAAGACAGTGTTATTAGTAAAATAATAAACATGTTTGTTATTGGCATAGTAATAAACATAGAAGAATAGAATAGGTAAGAAAGTGCAGAGACAGATCTTCACATATACCTCAACAGGTTTTTGTTTGGCAAGGATAATTCAATGGAGAAAGGTTAATCTTGACAAATGAGGCTGGAACAACTCACAGTACATTCAAAACTTAACTTGAAATGGATCATAGCACTAAGCTTACAAGTTACAACCATAAGATATTTAGAAGTAAGCATCGGACAAAATCTGTGTGGCCTTGGGTATAGACAAAGATTTCTTAGAACCATTGAAGAAAAATAAATCAATTGAATTGAATCAAAATTTAAAATGTAAGCTCTTTAAAAAACACTGTTAAGAAGATAAAAAGGCTCATCACAGAGAGATTTGCACTTCTATATATGACACACGAGTGGTATCCACACTACATAAAGAATACTTACAACCTAATGATAAGGACGAACCAGCAGACGCTGTAAAATCGGGCAGAGTTTGGGACAGACCCTGCACTGAGGAAGACACCCAAATGGCAAACGAGCACAGGAGATGATTGCCATCGTCAGTCACCAGGGAAACAAGCACCGCACCACCCAACCACGCCCGCCCTGTGACCGGCAACGCCGCCCCGAGGTAGTCCCTCAAGCAAAGTGATAACACCCCGAGGGCAGGTGTCCACCTCGGCTTCATTCGGAACGGCCCAAACCAGGAGACAGCCCCATACACGTCAACAGGTGGAGGGTGCAGTGTGGCGCAGCCTCTCCGTGAAGCACGGACCTGCCTCTGAAAAGGAATGTGCTGCCAATGCCCACAACAGCAGGGACGAGAAAGTGAGCCAGATGCAGAGAGCACATGCTGCATGACTCCTTCACGTGGCCTGTTTTTAATGAGCCCGCGGGGCAGGGGTGGCTGGGCTCTGGGTGGGGGGCGGCCACTGGGAAGGGAGGCTGGGAGCCTCTGGAGGGAAGGAGATGCTCTACATCTTAACAAAGGTGGAGGCGGCAGGATGGCAGCCTTTTAAAAAGCTCATCAAACTGCACAGTGAAATTGGGTGCATTTGATCATATGAAAGTCATTATCGCAACAAAGCCGATTTTCAGCACAAGTGGTCAGCGGGAGAAGAGGGAAGTTCGGGTGAGGAATATGCAGCAGGTGGGGCATGTGGGGGGGGGGTGGGAGGTGGCCAGCATTTCTGGGAAGGAGGCTGAGACCCTCCGGGGACAGCAGGCCATGGACGCTGGCCACAGGAAGAGTGAGGGGCTCACGACCGGCACCCCGTTCGCATGGTGGGCTGAACACCGTCTGATCCTTTCGAGCTCGGGGGGGACAGTGGTCCACTTCCTGCAGCAGTTCCAGCCACCGCCCCTAGTGGGCGATCTCGCTGGGGTACTTGCACCTTTGTCAACGTGTGCCCTTGCGTGGGGCTGATGTCATCCTGACGTCAGAGGAGGCTGCTGGCCACGGCCCTTTGGCACACTGAGGCCCGGCAGGGGTGCTCAGCTCCCAGGGGAGCCCCTGCATCACGACTCGGTGTCCCTCACACTCCCAGCCTGAGCCCAGAGCTGCCAGTGGAAGGCCCCAAGGGCACACAGACACGGGACCCCACAGGTCCTGCCACCTGCTCCTCCACGTTTTATTTCTACACTTGCTGTTTACTCCTGTAAGCTGGGAGCTGCCCCTCACCCTCACCCCGTCGGGCCTCGGCCCATGGTGTAGCCCTGCGGGTGGATGATGGAGGTGCGGCCGGCCCACAGAGGCTGTGCTGCATGCAGCCCCCACACCAGCTTCCTGATGAGTGACTGTGGGGGTGGGTTTGCCCAGATGGGACAGTGGGTGGAAACGGTCCCAGGGGACTGAGGACCCCTAGACCATGATGTGTCTGCAGGTGACCAGCCCCAGGGAAGGCCGGGGCACAGGCCCAGCAGGCATTGACCTTCCTCAGCAAGGACAAGAGTCCTACCCAGTCACCTTGCCCAGAGCCAGGCCACTGCCCTTTGTGATCTCTCAGCCACTCATTCCCAGAAACACTTGGAGCTGCAGAGCAATGTCTGGTGAAAACCTCCTGTCCCCTCACCCCTACCGTGAAATCAGACGAAGGAAGCGATCATGTGATGAAGTGTGTTTATTGGGGAGCCCGAGGAGATGCTGACAAGATGAGAATGGAGGTCAGGTGACGAGACAGAGAAACGTGGAGGGAAGCACAGGGGACCCAGGGGCAGGTGGAGGTGCCTCCTGGGAGGCAAGAGGCTGGGGAAGAAGCGAGGTCAGGGGTTCCTGGGAGCAGAGGTCAGGTGAGGACTGGGGGGACGGGGGGGACCCCATCCTGAGTGAGGTCAGCCATATAGCATGGGTCAGGGCTGGACTGAGGGGTGGCTGGAAGGACCACAGTCACAAGGTGAGACCTGAACCCAGGTGGTCCTGGGGGGACATGCCCGGTCAGCAGCGGGACTTCGGGGCTGAGGCACGGACACAGCAGGCCGGGCGGGAGCACACAGGGCGGCAGATGAGGGACACGCAGGAGGCCGGGCGGCAGCAGCTGGGCTGGCAGCAGGAGGAGGTGGGAGCACAGCAGGAGGAGACGGGCACGCAGCAGGCGGGTCTGCACACAGGGCGGCAGATGACAGACATGCAGGAGGAGGGTCTGCAGCAGGACGAGGGGCAGGTTGTGCAGCACACGGGCTTGCAGCAGACAGGTGTGCAGCACACCGGCTTGCAGCAGACAGGTGTGCAGCACACGGGCTTACAGCAGACAGGTGTGCAGCACACGGGCTTGCAACAGACGGGCACACAGCAGGAGGGCTGGCAGGGGGAGGAGGAGCAGCAGGAGGGCTGGCAGCCAGACTGCTGGCAGCACAAGGGTGTGCAGGAGATGGTGCAGGCTGATTGGCAGGGGCTGGGCCCACAGGTCGCCTGGCAGCAGGGGCTGGACACACAGCTCACTGGGGCGCAGATGAGGGTCTGGCAGGGGGCTGGGGCACAGCAGCTGGGGACACAGCAGGAGGGCTGGCAGCAGCTGGGGACACAGCAGGAGGGTTGGCAGCAGCTAGGAGCACAGCAGGTGGACTGGCAGCAGCTGGGGACACAGCAGGTGGACTGGCAGCAGCTGGGGACACAGCAGGAGGGCTGGCAGCAGCTGGGGGCACAGCAGGAGGGCTGGCAGCAGCTCTCTGGACAGTCATCCACCTGCTGGGAGTCGGTGCAAGAGTCACTGGAACCGGGCAAGCAGATGCGGTTGCCATAGCTCAGGTCGCTGGAGCAGACAGACAGGGTGGAAGCGGCCATGGTGGACGGTGGGGCTGGAGGTGAGCTGGGAGGAGTGTGTGAGTGTGTGTGAGTGTGTGAATGTGTGAGGTGCCTGGGCTATTGGCTTTTATACCCTCCTGGCTTGGTGTCCCAAGCCCTACAGCTGCCATTTCCGCCTTCCAGAAGCATCAGGGATGTTTGTTTGCCTGGGATGTTGTCCAGCTTGTAAATCTAGATTGTCTAGCTCAGGAGCCTGTCCCATTGTGTCTCCAGGGAAACAGGAGCGGGTGGGCAGGTCCCAGCCTGAGTCCTCAGAGCAGGGGAAGGTGCAGATGGAGTGGAGCTGAGGTCCCATCTCAAGCCGTCCTGGGTGTTTGGGGCATCGTCCCTTCAGAGACGTGTACAGCCTCAGCGCCTGGCTCACTTTGCAGGCAGCTGGCGTTGGGAAGGTTTCCCAGCAGCTCACCACCTCATCCCATGGGGATGCAGAACTGTTGCCACCTCATGTGGGAGGAACCGCGAGCCAGGGGCGTTTGGTGACTTCCCAGTGCCCCATGGGCACAACGGGACCTGAGCCTCTTGGTCGGAGCTCAGGAGGGCTTCTCATCGCTGAAGAGCCTCTCTCCGTGGCCAGCTGTCTGTCTGTGTGTCCACTTTCCGCCTGTCCTGGAGCTTGGAAGACTGCAGGACTCTGCATTCTAAGGCAAACCATGCAGCTCCCTGCCACGCAGAAAAGGGACAGCTTTCTGGGTGCCCGGTTCCCATGTGTGACCCACGCAGAGCACCTGGGCTGGACCACGGGTGGGTCACAGCCCTCCTCCCCCTCTCAGGTGGGATGCCTGGCTTCTCCTCCAAGGCAGCCCCCAACAGCCTGTCCCCAGCCCTCTGCAGGCTGGATACCCGGCCCACCTACTCAGACAGCCTGCAGGGTCACCCAGTAGCAGAGGGCCACTGGGCACAACAAAAAGATGCAAAACGTGCCCGAGGAGAGTGCCTCCCTCATTGTCTGCCAGTGTCCGCACCCGCTCAGGAAGCAGTGCCTGCACCCCTTTATTTTCTCTGCCTCTGTCTCTCTCTGCACCCACACACACTGGCACTCAGTCCATTCTCGTTTGCAGTAGTTACGCTCTATAAAGTTGCTGCAAACCCTGAATTAGCAAATACCATGGTCCTGGGGAAATGCAAGGTGGGGTCCCTGCGATCCTCTGGGCACCGTATTTTCATAACTGATCAATACGTAGCCTTGTTTGGTGCGTGCTTCTGCTTGAAGGCATTTTATTTAATGCACATATTTAATGAGCATCTTACTTAACATTGTGCTGTAGCCACCTGCACTGTAACTCTCGCCCAAACGGGGTTCCCTGACGTCTGTTTTCCCTGGGAGGCACGCTGCAGCCTTCCTGTGCTCACAGCCCCAGACGGACCTTCGGCTCCACGCTGTGGGCCATTCTCACCAGCACAGTCACAAGTATAAGGCCCCAAAATGTGGAAAACATGGCGCTGAAGAGAACTTGGGAAGGACCCGTCTACAGACCGCGAGCTGAAACAAGAGGGGCATTGCCTGTGCAGCCTCAGCTGGGAACGTGCGCCGTGGGGGACCCAGAGCTTCGGCCACCCTGCACACGTCCGCAGCGCAAGGCAGGCGCTGCGAGGGGTGACGGGGCTGCAAATGAATCGCAGCGAGCCGGTGAATTCACAAACAAGGGGTTCCTGAGTGATGCGGAGCTGTCTGTCTAGGCAGGGATACATATACCGTATGCATATAGATAGCGTCTTTGTATACAAATTTTTAAAGTACAAACTATACCGTGTTTTACCCACGATTTTTTTTTTAATCTTAACCTGGAGCTCCTCTCCTATGAGTACATGAAGATTTCTCTTTCCCGTTGATAACTGCGTAGCATTCCGCACTGATCCGTGTGCGTGTTTTCTGTAGCTGTATAATGAATTACCACAAGCCTGGTGGCTTAAAAATATGCAAGTGTCACTCACAGTCTCTGGGGGTTGAGCTAGACTGAGTTCGCTGTGGGTTCACACCATGGGGTCTCCTCTGGAGGCTCGACGGGGGGAGGGGAGGAGTCGCTTCCCAGATCATGTGGTTCTCCTCAGAATCCAGCTCCTTGCAGGTGGCCCGACTGAGGGCCACTCCCATGTCTTGCCACGTGGCCCCCTCCACAGGAGCTCACATGGGGCAGCTTGCTCCTTTGCAGCCAGCCCAGGACGTGTCTCCTCCCAAGACCAGTGCTACAGTCCTGCGTACGTAACGTAAACACGCCCACCCCATCACCTGCGCTGTGTTCTTTGTGCCTGAAGCAAGGCAAGGGTCCTGACCACTCTTGGGGGGTAAGGGCCACACAGCACACAGGATGCCCGTGTTTTACTCCAAACTTAGAATAGCCCCTCCCATGCCGAGGTTATTTTCGTCCTCTTCTCCTTCAGCTATTGAGAGAGGTATATTAATGTCCCCCACTCTGATGTTACCTTTCTCTATTTCTGCTTCTAGTCCTGTCCGTTTCCATTGCTCTGTTTTAGGCTGTATGATTAGGTACACACACGTACGGAATTATTACAGCTTCCTGGTGGACTGACCCTTTTTGCTTTATGAAATGTCTTTATCTCAAATAATGCTTCTTACTTGAAGATCTACTTTACTTGGTCATAACAAGCCACGCCAGCCTCTCAAAGTGGGTGTTTGCATGATGTGTTCTTGTCAATGGTCTTACTTCCAACCTCTGCAAGCATCACGCACACCTACAATATTGTACCTACTCTCTGGTCACATGTTTTCTGCTTGCCCCAGAATGTTCTTTTTAACTATTTCCTGACTGCTTTGGGTTAATCACGCATTTTTAGGATTCATCTCCCTTTTTTATTCGTGATGGACAATCCACTACAGGCACCGACTTTCCCCGGGGCCTAAGGACGCCCCGCGAGCACTCTCGGTTACTCGGGCAAACACCGGCTCTCTTACCGCTTTCAGAGCAATGCTAAGACCTCGGAATACTTTAGCTCCACTTACCTTTCTCACCCTTACTGTTAATGCTGTTTTGCACTTTATTTTTCTGTTAACAAGCAAGAAAAAAATGGGGCCCTGGCTGGTGTGGCTCAGTGGACTGAGTGTGAGCCTGCAAACCAAAAGACTGCTGGTTTGATTCCCACTCAGGGCACATGCGTGGGTTGCAGGCCAGGTCCCCAGTAGGGAGCACACGAGAGGCAACCACACATGGATGTTTCTCTCCCTCTCTTTCTCCCTCCCTCCCCCTCTCTAAAAATAAATAAAATATTTTTTAAAGAAAAAAATGGGAAACACGAGCAAGCCTCATTTTCCATGCAGAAGGCTTGTGGTGGCTGTGCTTTCTGCAGGGAGATGGACAGGGGGACCTCTGGGTCACATGCGCAGCTTTCAGTGTTGGATAAATACAGATGGCTCGGGAAGGCTGTGGACAGGCGCAGGGTCTGTGCCTCACTGAGTGGTCAGGTGGGTCATGGGGCGGGGGGTGGAACCACCCACCCCGGGACATGGAGGTGCCGCTGCCAGAGCATGCACGGCGCCTGCTCGCCACCCGCCCAGGGGAGCCCCTGCACCAGAGGGAGTGCTGGGGAGCCACAGTGAGAGATGTTCCGGCCTCTTGCCCTCCTTGTCCCGGGCTTCTCCAGCCAGGCACTTGGGAAGCCGTGGCACCACAACGAACAGAGTCCCCAGGTGTTCATGGGACCTGTCCCAGGTGTCAACAAAATGACGTTTGGACATGAAGGGATGATTCTCTTGCGAAGCCAACTCAGACCCCGGGACTCGCTATTTGCAGACAAACATGACTTTCTACCTCAGCGTTATGAACCAAAGGCGGCTCAGGATAGATGAATCAACAGACCACACAACATACAAGAGCTTCATAGCTGAGCAACTTCTCGCAGAAGGAAAACACAACACTGGCACTAATGAGAGCTCTCTGAGGCCCAAACAGAAACAAGGAAGAAGGTGAATGAGCATCCTGTGGGGAAACACAAGCCATACAGGGTATAAAAGGTGGACAGTCCCAGAACCTCACACACTCACTCACCTTCACACACTCACACCTCCTCCCAGCTCACCTCCAGCCCCACTGCCCACCATGGCCGCCTCCACCCTGTCCGTCTGCTCCAGCGACCTGAGCTACAGCAGCCGCGTCTGCCTGCCCGGTTCCAGTGACTCTTGCACTGACTCCTCCTGGCAGGTGGACGACTGTCCAGAGAGCTGCTGCCAGCCCTCCTGCTGCGTCCCCAGCTGCTGCCAGCCCTCCTGCTGCGTCCCCAGCTGCTGCCAGCCCACCTGCTACGTCCCCAGCTGCTGTCAGTCCACCTGCTGCGTCCCCAGCTGCTGTCAGTCCACCTGCTGCGTCCCCACCTGCTGCCAGTCCACCTGCTGCGTCCCCAGCTGCTGCCAACCCTCCTGCTGTGTCCCCAGCTGCTGTCAATCCACCTGCTGCACCCCCAGCTGCTGTGCCCCAGCCACCTGCACAACTCTCGTCTGTGCCCCAGTGAGCTGTGGGCCCAGCCCCTGCCAATCAGCCTGCACCAGCTCCTGCATACCCTCATGCTGCCAGCAGTCTAGCTGCCAGTCCTCCTGCTGTACCTCCTCCCCCTGCCAGGCCTCCTGCTGTGTACCTGTCTGCTGCACACCTGTCTGCTGCACACCCGTCTGCTGCAAGCCCGTGTGCTCTGTGCCTGTCTGCTCTGGGGCTGCCCCCTGTCCAGCCCCCTCCTGCTGCCAGCCCACCCCCTGCCCCTCATCCTGCTGCAGACCCTCCTCCTGCATGTCTGTCATCTGCCGCCCTGTGTGCAGACCCGCCTGCTGTGCCCCCTCTTCCTCCTGCTGCCAGCCCAGCTGCTGCCGCCCAGCCTCCTGCGTGTCCCTCATCTGCCGCCCTGTGTGCTCCCGCCCGGCCTGCTGCGTCCGTGCCTCAGCCCAGAAGTCCCCCTGCTAAGGGGTCTTCTTACTGGTTTATGGGCACCCCAAAACTCAACAACTCACTGCCATCTGCACCCCCAGGATTCTTTACTCAGAGCCAAGACAGCTGTCAAGTCCCCTTCATAGGTCCCTGCACTGGGTATCTGTGGTCGTCTGGCTGCCACTGTGCATTTCTGCCTCTAGGAAAAGCTCACCCATCTTTCCAAGCAGAGACTTCCCCAAATCCACGTGCCCTGCCATCCAGCCCAGGCTGGCAGTGACCCCAGCAAGGCCGGCTGGACTCTCCCAGGCCCTGGAGCCTGGAACAGGGTGAAGGGAGAGAAGCCGGTCTCTCCTCACTGCTCCCCGCCCCCATGTGGCCCCAGCATCTCCACTGCACCCTCTGCTGGTGTCTTCATCCTCCCCCACCCCAGCCCCGACCTGTGTGCTGTCCGTCCCATCCAATAAATTCCTTTCCTGATGCCTTTAACCAGCACTCGTTTCTATTCTTTAACAATGACCCCTACCTGACATCCCCCAGGTAAGGCTGGTCCCAGGGGGTTCCTCAGGGCCACCATGTTCCTGCCCCTTCAGCGGTGTCCAGGAAGTCCCCCATCACTCGAGCCACAACTATGTCCAAGAGATGGACCCACCTTCTGGACCCAAAGGCTGAATAACCTGGCAGCAGTGCCTGCCCTGGGAGGGGCCACCCTTCGGGGGTGACTCGGACACTCTTCAGCGCCCCCACTTCAGGAGGGCCTGTTCAGGAAGGAGCTAGCCCAGCAGGCCTGGGGAGGCCATCGCTAGGCCTGCTCTCCAGGCCAGCCTTGGGCCAGCGCCTGGGAATGGGGACTCCGTGGGGGCTCTCAGCACGCAGGATGCGAGTGCCACACTGGCCCAAACCATCTGCGCAGACACGGTGGCCGTGCTGACACCTGCTCTCCCTCTGGGGGTCTGGAGTTTTGGGCACGTACTGGGCAGGGGTGCCACGTGACCAGCCCCGATAAGAGCCCTGGGCTCTGGGCTCTGATGAGCTCCCTGGTGGATATCTCACGCTCCTGCCTGAGCAGGTAAGTGCGTTCTGCACGATCCACAAGGACGGGCCCTGAGCGCTGGCCACACCTGGTGTCCCCGACTCCTGCCACGTGGCTTTTCCCTGAGGCGATTTAGCTCTGCATACTGAGTCCTGGGAGTTGTATAGAGTCATCCAAACTCGGGGTTGCTGGGGACCCCAACATTCATCAGAATGAATAAAATGTTCACGTCTGATCATAGCAAACAGGGCCTAGAGTGAGCACAGGCACATTTCACAGTATGTAAGTCTCACCTAAACAACGCCGACTTTTTAAAAGAATGCAGTCAAGGGGATGAAAAACACCAGCCCCAGACTTGGATGAGGGGTCTGCAGCGCACCTGCCCACGGTGCTGTGCTGAAGCCGGCTGGCCCAGCCCCAGGGTGCTGACCGGGCCCCTCACTGCCCGGCCCCATGTTCAGTGACACCACGCTGGTGGCTCCTGGGAGAGGAGTCACACCGTGGTGACTGGCAAACGCCGCAGACCAGGACTCGTTTTGTTCCTGTCTCACAGGCATCCAGTCATGAAACATTTACCAGCACACTGTTGCACATATATGACAAAGAACTCATATTTGGAATATATAATCATTTTCTGCAAATCCCAAAGAAATACAAATAACACTATTTAACAAAAACGATCAGCTGCAAGAGATGCTCAGATCAGGGAAGGCAAATTAATGCAGCGATGCCACAGCCCTGCACACTTTCCAGAATGGAGAAGGTCCTGACCGACCGACACCACCTCGTTCACACAGAATGTGCAGTGACTGGACCTGACTAACGGGAATGTACACTTCTTTAGAGACTCGTTGGGCAGTGTACGCTTAACAGAGCATACAACATAAGTATATTTCTGCCCTGCCGCCCCATGCACTCCCTCCCTACCTGTGTGTCCCGCCTTGGCACGCAGGTCCTGCTGCCGACGGGCACATCCCCGTGGGGCCACATGCCCCGAGGATTCTCCCTACCCATCAGCCCCTGACTTCCCACCTTCCTGGGCCTTTCCCATCCAGGTATAGCTCAGACCCTACTTCCTCCAGCCCAGCCCAGCCCAGGCCTGGGAGCCTGAAATGCTCATGGAGCTTTTCTCCTGACTGGGACCCATGGGTGCCCTGGCTGCACCACAGCGTGCTTCTCCGCTCCAGGCCACATCCCTCCTTTGGTCAGGAACGGGTGCTGTCTGACCCCGGTCCTGCACAAAGCAGTGTCGCTCTCAGCCTCTGAGCACCGATCAAAACTCCGCTCCCTCCACCGGCCCTTCATGCGGACTGCACATATCTGGGGGTGGGAGGGGCAGCCGTGAGACCTGGGCCCCTCGGCGGCCTTGCTATCACCAGTTTTGGGAAATTTGGGGGGCTCCTGCACGTGACAGTGGGAAGCTCATGTCTCCTTCCTGCCGTCATTCACTGTTTGACCACCATCACAGGTCCTGCAGGGTAATAGAAGCTTTGTTCCAGGACGAGTCCTGTGAGCCCTGCCTGGCCTGGCACTCAGGCTGTCCTCTTGGGATGGCTGGGCACCTGAACTCACACACACAGACACAAACACTGGGACGCCCGGTGGCCCAGCACTGAGCCAGCTGCTGGGATGCAGAGGGCAGAGACCAGCACACAGCTTTTGGAGCTCCACCTGCTGGGCAGGGCTGGGGGAGAGCAGGTGGGAAAGGGAAGACCCTGGGCAGCTGCGGTGCAGAAAGCCCAGAACGTGTGAGAACGAGTCCAGACTGTGGAGTGGGAGACACATGTGAACACACGTGTGCAGAGGTGCTCAGAGGCAGGCTCACTCACGGCTGACCAAAGACTCCTAGCACAGGCTCCTGGACCTAGAGCCGCAGAGCACAGCAGGAGACACTGGTGCTGTGACCGTCACCACATGGCCCCCAAGACCTGAAGAGCTGGTCTATCATGTTTTCATTCTCATTCGTTTCAAAGTGCTTCCTAACTTCCCTTTCGATTTCTTCTTTGACCCACCTGTTGTTTAAGTCTGTGTTGTTTGAAAATTCCACACATTTGTGAATTTTCTCAGTTTTCCTTCTGGAACTGATTTCTAGTTTCATTCCCTTGTGGTCAGACAAGGTGCGTTGTGGAATTTCAACACTTTTAAACATATTGAGATGTATTTTGTGGTTTAACATATGGTCCAACTGGAGAGCATTCTGTGCGCACTTGAGAAAAATGTGTATTCTGATGCTGTTGAGTTGAGCATTGTGTTATGTCTATTACATCCAGTTGCTCTACACTGCTCTTCACGTCCTGTTTCACTATTGATCTTTGATCTAGTTGTCCTATCTTGTCATTTTTTTTTAAACTAGTGGAAATCACTTATTGATGTCTCCATGTGTTATCGTAGGACTGGAATTGTCTGTTTCTTTCTTCAATTCAGTCAGTCTCTTTCTTTATCCATGTTGGAGGTCTGTTGGTAGGTGCCTATATTCTTATAATGGTCATATAGTCTTGACATACTGACCCTTTTATCAATATTTGAAGTCTTCATTTGTCTCATAATAATTTCTAACTCAAAGTCTGTTTTTCTGATTTTATTGTAGCCATCCAGCTTTCTTCTGGTTACTATTTCATTAAATATCTGTTTTCAATTCTTTCACTTTCAATATATTTGTATTTTTGAATCTAAAGTGAGTGAACTGACTCAAGAATACATAGACAAGCTGAAGAGACACAAAACAAGTAATGAAATTGAATCAGTCGTTAAAAACCTCCTCTAAAAGAAAAGCCTGGGGCCAGATGGCTTCAATGCTGAATTGTACTAAACATTTCCAAAAGACTTGGCACCAAGCCTTCTCAAACCCTTCCAAAGAACACAATATGAGGGAGGACTTTTTAAAAATATATATTTTATTGATTATGCTACTACAGTTGTCCCATTACCCCCTTCATTCCCCTCCACCCTGCACACCCCCTCCCACTCACATCCCCCCTTTAGTTCATGTCTATGTGTCATAAGTTCTTTAGCTTCTACATTTCCCATACTATTCTTGCCCTCCCCCTGTCTATTTTCTACCTACCATCTATGCTACTTATTCTCCGTACCTTTTCCCCCTCTCTCCTCCTCCCACTCCCCTGTTGTTAACCCTCCATGTGATCTCCATTTCTGTGGTTCTGTTCCTGTTCTAGTTGTCTTCTTTGTTTTTGTTTTAGGTGTGGTTGTTAATGATTGTGAGTTTGCTGTCATTTTACTATACATGCTTTTTATCTTCTTTTTCTTAGATAAGTCCCTTTAACATTTCATATAATAAGGGCTTAATGATGATGAACTCCTTTAATTTGACCTTATCTAAGAAGTAGTTTATCTGCCGTTCCATTCTAAATCAAAGCTTTGCTGGATAGAGCAATCTCAGATGTAGGTTCTTTCCTTTCATGACTTGGAATACTTCTTTCCAGCCCCTTCTTGCCTGCAGGGTCTCTTTTGAGAAATCAGCTGACAGTCTGATGGGAACTCCTTTGTAGGTGACTATCTCCTTATCTCTTGCTGCTTCTAGGATTCTCTCCTTCACTTTAATCTTGGCTAATGTAATTATGATGCGCCTTGGTGTGTTCCTCCTTGAGTTCAACTTCCTTGGGGTTCTCTGAGCTTCTTGGACTTCCTGGAAATCTATTTCCTTTCCCAGATTGGGAAGTTTGCCTTTATTATTTGTTCAAATAAGTTTTGTATTTGTTGCTCTTCCTCTTCCCCTTCAGGCATCCCTATCATTTGGATGTTGGAATGTTTAAAGATGTCCTGGAGGTTCCTAAGCCTCTCTTCATTTTTTTTGAATTCTTATTTCTTCATTCTTTTCTGTTTGATTATTTCTTTCTTCCTTTTGGTCCACTTGATTGATTTGAGCCCCAGTTTTCTTCCTATCACTGTTGGTTCCCTGTGCATTTTCCTTCATTTCACTTAGCATAGCCTTCATTTTTTCATCTAATTTGTGACCAAATTCAACCAATTCTGTGAGCATCCTGAT